GGTCGAGCCTGTCGAGGTCACTGGTGACTCTGGTGCTGCTGTGGGTGCTGAGCCTGGGGGTGCTGTGCCTGGGGGTGCTGAGTCTCGAGGTGCTGAGCCTGGGGGTGCTGAGTCTGGGGGTGCTGAGCCTGGGGGTGCTGAGTCGGGGGGTGCTGAGCTTGGGGGTGTTGAGCCTGCGGGTGCTGGGCCTGGGGGTGCTGAGCCTGGGGGTGCTGAGCCTGGGGGTGCTGAGCCTGGGGGTGCTGAGCCTGGAGGTGCTCTGCCTGGAGGTGCTTTGCCTGAGGGTTCGTTGCCTGGAGGTTCTCCGGGTGCTTTGTCTCGCCGAGAGCCACTCTCCCGGCAGGAGCTGCGCGAGTGGTTTGCCCGGCGCTAGAGGCGTGCTGCTGGTACTGGAGGTTCTTCGGCTGCTGAGGGTGCTGCTGCCGCGTGTCCTGGAGGTGCTCGTGCTGGGAGTACTGGAGCTGCTGGGCCTGCGGGTTCTAGTGGAGCTGGTGCTGCTGGGCGTGTTGGCGCTAAGACTACTGCTAGCGGTCCGGCTGGCAATGCTTCTGGTGCTGCTGGAGGTTATGGAGCTACTGGAGGTGCTGTTGGAGGTGCTGCTGGAGAGGGTACTCCTGCTGGGGGTACTGGTGCTGTCCCTGCTGTTTCTGGCGTCGCCTCGCGGCCCAGACCGTACTTCGTTCCCCTCCTGCAGCAGGTTCTTGGTCTTTCACCTTCTACTGGTCCTCCTCCTCCTCCCTTAGAGGGTCCCCAGCCTGTCCAGTCACAGTCACAGCTCCAGCCTGCCTCCCCTTTGCCTGCTCCTTCTCCCTACGCTGGTCCGACTGGAGGTCTTACTGAGCGTCGTGAGCCTGCGTCTCGTCCTGCGTCGCCTGTTCGTACTGCACGCACTAGTGGTCGCGGTTCGCGTCAGCGTCCTCCTCCTGTCCCTGGCACGCACCGGATGTCTCTGCGTCCGTCCACTGCTCCTCTGCGTGCCCCTTTGCCTTCTCCTCCTGCTTCCTCTCTTTCTGCTCTTGCCGACCCGGAGTCGGACTCTCTTCGTGCTGCCAGTCCTACTGTCACGCGTCTCCTTGATACTGCTGTCACTGACCCTTCTTTCGAGTCTTCTGCTGCGTCTGCCCTTGTCACTGAGCTTGTCGACTTTGCTGCGCGCTGTCGTCTAGACTACGCTGCTAGTCTTGTCACTGAGTCTAAGTCTGCCTCTCCTCCGTCCGTCGGGGGTGAGTGTGCCCTTGGCACGGACGTCCTTGAGGACAGGCAGGAGGAGTTCCAGTGTCTGGCCGCCGCTTCACCTCATCTCGCGTCTGTACTGCTCGCCCCTGAGGGAGACCCGGATGCACTAGACATCCCGACTCCGCGCTCTTACGCGGAGGCGATAGAGGGTCCCTACTCCTCTCAGTGGCAGGCAGCTATGGATGCAGAGATGGCTTCCTGGAAGTCCACAGGCACCTACGTTGACGCTGTTCCCCCTCCTGGGGCGAACATAGTCAGTGGCATGTGGATTTTCAGGGTGAAGCGGCCGCCGGGTTCTCCGCCTGTCTTCAAGGCGCGTTACGTGGCTCGTGGCTTCAGTCAGCGGCAGGGAGTTGACTACTTTCAGACCTTCTCCCCCACCCCGAAGATGACCACTCTTCGAGTACTGCTGCACGTTGCTGCTCACCGTGACTACGAGCTCCACTCTCTCGACTTCAGCACTGCTTTCTTGCAGGGCAGCCTGCACGAGGAGATCTGGCTGCGTTGCCCACCTGGCTTCACTAGGTCTTTCCCTCCTGGTACCCAGTGGAGTCTCCGGCGTCCAGTCTACGGTCTCCGCCAGGCGCCACGTGAGTGGCACGACACACTGAGGACTACGCTCGCGGCACTTGGGTTTGCTCCTTCTACTGCCGACCCGTCGCTGTTTCTGCGCACCGACACCTCTCTGCCGCCGTTCTACATCCTCGTGTACGTCGACGCCTTGGTCTTTGCCAGTGCTGACACTGCTGGAATCGCCTACGTGAAGTCCGAGCTGCAGAAGAGACACACGTGCACTGACCTGGGTGAACTGCGCAGCTACCTTGGCTTGCAGATGACCCCGGACAGAGCACGCCGCACCATTACCCTGACTCAGTCACACATGGTGCAGCAGGTCCTTCAGCGCTTCGGCTTCACGTACTCCTCGCCTCAGGCCACTCCTCTGCCTACTCGCCACTCGCTCTCAGCTCTGCCTTCGGATGAGTCCGTAGAGTCGAGTGGTCCGTATGCAGAGCTTGTTGGCTGCCTCATGTACCTGATGACCTGCACACGACCTGACCTTGCATACCCTCTTAGCATTCTCGCACGCTATGTTGCTCCTGGGAGACACCGACTAGAGCACATGGCTGCAGCGAAGAGGGTGTTGCGCTACTTGTGCAGTACGTCGGGCATGGGGCTAGTGCTTGGAGGGCGGAGTCCAGTGGTCCTCACTGGGCACGCGGACGCTTCTTGGGCTGACGACCAGGCTACGCAGCGGTCGTCACAGGGTTACACCTTCAGTCTTGGTTCCGGCTCTGTTTCGTGGCGGGCTACCCGCTCGTCTTCTGTTCTCGGCTCCAGTTGTGAGGCTGAGATCTACGCCGGGGCTATGGCTGCTCAGGAGCTTCGCTGGCTCACCTACCTGCTGACCGACCTTGGAGAGCCGCCTCGTTCTCCTCCAGTCCTGTACGTAGACAACAAGGCCATGCTGGCCTTGTGTCAAGAGCAGCGACTGGAGCACAGGACGAAGCACATTGCTCTCCGCTACTTTCTTGCTCGTGAGCTACAACAGCGTGGACAGTTGCGACTTGCGTACGTGGCCTCTGAGGCCAACACTGCTGATGTCTTCACTAAGGCACTTGCGCCTTGTGATCATCAGTGTTGCTGCACGCAGCTGGGGCTTGTGCCTGTCTTGCCTCCCTTGCTCACTTCTTGACCTTACTTGTACCTTGACCTATATATACTCTTGTTCTTGCTTGCTTGACTCTTGTATATCTCTATATATGATCTTGCATGTGAACTGGCCTTGTGGCCCTTGAACTTGTGCTCGGAATGTGTGGTGACTTTGTGATCCACCCTGAGCTTTGCTTTGCTTTGCTTGACTGGTCTTGTGACCCCTTGTTCTCCCCCACTTTGCCTATGGGGGTGTGTCAGAACATTATAGCTTACTTATTTGTGTAGGCTATAGTGGGGTATCCCATAGGGGGTACAACCCAACTAGGGTTTCCTATTTGTACTCACTTCGTTCATAGTCATTCCATTCTCTCGTTCTAACTTTCTCACCCAACGCGCCTTAAACTTGTCGATGGTTCCGTCTGCCTTTGTCTTCACACGGACGACCCATTTCCCGGTGAGTACTGTCTTGTTTCGTGCCATGCCGATGGGAACGACTTTCCAGGTGTTGCGTTCCTCCAGTGCTTTCAGTTCCCTGTCCATGGCTTCACGCATTTTTTCCCTATGCTCCCCCCCCAGAGCCTGTGGCAAGCTCCTCTAGCGGGGGAGTGTTGTGTCCGCGGGATAAGCTGCTTCGACACCTGCTTCTGGGTCAGGTATGAATTTGGGCCCTATGCGTTATGCTCCGTTGGTGTTGACTTCTACAGGTGTAACGTAACTGTTGTCGGCGAAGTGGTAAAATACTTCGGCGTTGGCGCTTTCGCAAGGTTCTTCGTCATCCATTGGGACGTCGACGGAGCAGTAAGGGAGAGGTCCGGCTTCCTCCGAGGCTTCATCCACGTTCTGCTCATCCCAGTTAGCTTCGTCTGCTGCCGAGGCGAAGGCTCGGTCACCTCGGAAGCCACGTGTGGGGTCCCGATCTTCTTCCAGGTTGGCAAGGTACGTTGGAAGGGTGAGTCGTTCGTAGAAAATGACATCACGTGCTGCTACTGTGTCCTTGGAGTGGACGTCGAAAATTTCTCACGCGTTGTAATTTCTTTCGATGCCCAGGTGTAGCCCCCATTGTGCGCGTTGGGAGAATCAGCCGGCTCGTACAGATGGGGGGCGGTACTATACCATGCAGCCGAAAACTCTTAACATTTTTGTGCTGCCCTGTTTTCCTGTCCACAGCAGGTGCGGTGATGCGTTGTTCGGGAGCGATGATGACGAGAGCAAGTTGTGGAGCATGACAGCGTGGTCCATTGCTTCGGGCCATTGGTGGTTGGGTAGCTGCATGCCACGTAGCAGCTTGCGCATGGTGTTCTGAAGAGTTCTGTTCATCCTTTCTGCTACGCCTTGCTGCTGGTGAGCGTAGGGAAGAGAGATGAGCCTCTTGATCCCTCTTTCTGCCAAGTATTGCTTGAACCTCTGTGAGGTGTATTCTCCTCCGTCTGACTGGAAGCTTTTTAGTTTTACGCAAGATTCTCGTTCTGCTACTGGGAGCCAAGCGACGAAAGCCTCGAAGGCCATGTCCTTGCTCGGTAGGTTGAGGTGCCAAACGTAACGCGTGGCGGCTGTCAGATCATTATAGCTTATACATTTGTGTAGGCTGTAGTGGGGTAGCCCATAAGGGGTACAACCCAATTAGGGTTAGTACTTGTACCCAACTCTTTCATAGTTCAATCATTCTCGTTTCTCATCATGGAATCGAGCAGGTTCCCGAGTGGGAATGCTGCCTAGGGCCCACCACGATTTTTTTTTCCCATGCCCGGAGCGCGCTTCACTCCTATCCGAGTAGTGCTTCGTGTGCCTTACCTACCCTCGAGCCGCCCTTAGTGGCCCCCCCTTTGGCCGCCCTTACGGCCCCTCGCACCGCCTTCTACGGCCCCTCGCGCCGCCCTTACGGCCCCGCCTAGGCCCCTCCGCGGCCCCGTCTGGCCCCTTCGGCCCCTTCGCGGCCTCGCCTAGGCCCCTCCGCGGCCCCGTCTGGCCTCTTACAGCCCCTTCACGGCCCTGTCTAGGCCCCTTGCGGCCCCGCCAAGGCCAATCTTGCGGCCCCGTCTAGGCCCCTCCGCGGCCCCGTCTGGCCGCGCTACAGCCCCGTCTAGCCCCTTTACGGCCCCGTTTAGGCCCCTCTACGGCCCTGTTGCCACCTGCGGCCCTGTCGCCACCTGCGGCCCCGCCGCCACCTGCGGCCCCGCCGCCACCTGCGGCCCCGCCGCCACCTGCGGCCCCGCCGCCACCTGCGGCCCCGCCGCCACCTGCGGCCCCGCCGCCACCTGCGGCCCCGCCGCCACCTGCGGCCCCGCCGCCACCTGCGGCCCCGCCGCCACCTGCGGCCCCGCCGCCACCTGCGGCCCCGCCGCCACCTGCGGCCCCGCCGCCACCTGCGGCCCCGTCGCCACCTGCGGCCCCGTCGCCACCTCGGCCCCGCCGCCACCTGTGGCCCCGCCGCCACCTGCGCCCCCCCCCCCCCCCCCAGTCACCCGTCGCCCTACCCTAGCGGCCGAGCAGCACAGCAGCCGAGCCGCCCACCTACCGAGCAGCCGAGCCGCCTCGCAGCCCAACAGCCGAGCCGCCCTGCCGCCCTGCCGCCGAGCCGCCCAGCAGCCGAGCCGCCCTGCAGCCGAGCCGCCCTGCCGCCGAGCCACCGAGCCGCCCTACTGTCTAGCAGCTGCTGTCTCTACCGGTGCTCCCCGGCCCCCCCTTCCTCGGACTGATGAGCTCACTTCCTCCTAGGCCACTGCAGTCATGGCTACCCACAGTGTCCTCACTTTTGATGCTGAGGGCCGTGCCGTTGACTTTGAGGTCTGGGTCGATGACCTCCAGCTGTTTCTTCAGTGCGATAGGGCTGTGAGAGTACGTCGGCTTATGCTTGTTATTCATGCTTGCTATTATTTCCTTACGCTATTCCTAGCTTAGGATTATTTTCTACATGCATGAATTGCTTGATTTCCTAGGTTCGTTGCTATACTATAGTTATTATAGTTATGGGCACCGAACCAGGTTACGTGCACCGAACTCAAGCTATTCGGTCGCCACTGAATTGCTTTCTACCGAGTTCGGGAAGGTTCTGTTCGGGACGCTTCGCGACCCTCATAACATTCGCGTAACACCTGGGTTACCTGCCTTGTGTCGAGCCTATATATAGCCTCATGTTGTACCCAGGTGATCATTCAATTCAAACTCTCTTTTCTGAGCTCGATCCTAGATCCTCACACTTGGTAATCAGAGCGGGTTAACACGCGAGGTCTTCAACCGCTTAGTTCCGGCCTTTAAAAACCGCGGGGGCGACGACGAAAGCGCCGATACGGGTATGTAAAACCAGTTCCTCGCAATTTTTCTAAGTCCCCCTCGATTCGGTTTTCGAACACCCCTCAGATTTACTGGTGGAAAGGTTGGAGTTTCAACCGTTCGATCGAGTTTCATCTCAACGGCCCAGAGAATTTCGCCCAAAACATTTGGAATTTGGAGCGTCGGATCGATTTTCTCCTCAACGGCCGAGATCGGTCGCGAATTTCGCCTAAGGGAGATTTACGCAACCTACAGAATTCGCGCTCGTCGATTCTACAGTCAATTGACTCGCAGTAAGTCGACCAGTACCTAGAATTCGATTATTTTCGTCGCGCATCTTCCTGTAAATCACCAAATGGAGGGCCAAGGCGACAACTACGCGACCACGAGCGACGTTGTGAGCCTCCGCACCGACATGGAGCAGACGCAGGCGACACTTCGTCGACTCGAGGCTTTTTTAACAAGCCACCCGGCGCTCGCCACGACAGCAGCAGCGACTGCAACCACTACAGCACCGACAATTCCAGCAGCAGTGGCGACACCTATATTTCACGGCCCAATGGCACCACCAACGCCGAACCTCGAAGCAGCACGACCGAGGCTCCCGGAAGCGTTCGATCCAAGCGCAAAGGGATCCGACGTCCGGCGTTTCGTGGCAATCCTCGAGATCTACTTCGAGGCCATTGGCTGTTCGACCCCGACATACGACGCAACACGAATCCGGCTCGCAGCAACACTGTTACGCGGACCAGCACTCGAGTGGATCTACAACACTGACGTGGCCCGCGGGGAGAAAACGTGGCAGCAGTTTCGGGCAGAATTTATCGGGCGTTTCGAACCGGTTAATACTACCTATATGGCGCGGCAACAAATTCATCGGCACAAGCAGTACGGTAGTGTAGCGCAGTACACGCAGCAGATGGAGCTCTTGTTCACCCGCATCCCCGACCTGACCGAAGGCGAAAAAATCGCGGCATACACAGAAGGGTTAAAATTGGGGGTTCACCGGCAGGTGATCGCGTCAAATCACGAAAGCTACAAGGACATCGTGCGTGCAGCCGAGCGTTACGACGCGCTGACCTGAAGTCAACCCGAAACACGACGTTTCACGCCGAACCGTACATTCGGCACGGAGCGATCGGCACCCCCCACGTTCGCCGAACCGATGGATATCGACAAATTCGACGCGAAGCGGCAGCCGACCAAATATGAATTTCGCGGCGCAGCAGGGCATCAGATTTTGTCGTGCTACAAGTTGAAGAAAGTACGTGCGATCATGCAGGACGGTAACAGTGGAGCACCCCCGAAGTAAAAAAACGGGAATCGCCAGTAGCCGCGGATCGAACTGGCGATCGCGTAAAGATCCGAAAAGCGAAAAAGGGCGACGACGTGGCGACTTCGGAGCGGGCGAAAAAAGGAGAAAATGATGGCGCGAATATAAAACGTCACGACCGGCCGGCATCAGGGGAAATCGCCGAGGCGACTGGTGGCTCCGCGAAAAAAGACTCTGCACCGACCGGGAAACTCCAGCCGGACCCCCACGAAGTAAGAAATCGTTAAAAGTATCCTATAAAGATACTCTAACGAAAAATATTGCTTCTCGTGGTTTTCAAGCCTTTGAAAAATTCAGGGGAGAACTAGAGGCCAAGAAAAAGCCTTTAGAAGTCATTCAGGTACCTGCAAATATGGGCAAAGTATTACGGAGCATATAGAAGGGTCGTGCGTTCCGTGGTGTTAATATTCTCTCCCCGCAGCAGAGTGTTAAGGCTCCCCGTTGCCCACAGGTGAAGCCTACACATCTCCAAAGGCTTAGAGGAAAATTCCAGGCTCAGGAGAAGATATACAAGCCTCGGAAAAATCCTCCTACCCCCCAGGTGAAGTTGGAAAGTGCTGAGTCGGGTATAGGAAACAGGGAAGGTATCCATTTTACTGTACCCTATGATCCTATTAATGAGACCCTCTTTGGCTACTCAGCGCAGCAGAAACCACTACTCCTCGAGGTGTTATGCAATGGGCGACGCCTCCAGGCACTGGTGGACAGCGGTGCATCTCACTCGGTGTGTGACTGCGGAGCATTGGAGAAAATTGGAGAGAAGGCGGAGGAGACCCAATTTTCAGCTACCATGGTGGACGGTACGAAGCTTCCTATCCACGGCGAAGCATCACTGCAGCTGCATATCGGTGCGTTAAGGTGGAAACCGAAGCTGCCAGTCACCAACATCAAAGGGTTAGATTTTATCTTGGGGCGAGATTTCCTGAAGCGGTTCAACCCTGAGATCGATTGGGTCAACAGCAAGGTGTGCATCTACAACAACCGGAAACGGATAGCACTGCGAAGCGGGACGGATACAGGGGACGTACCTGAAACGACACTGGCACGGTTCGAACGGACGGTGAACGAGAGTAACACGGGTTACCTAGCACTGGTTATGGCAGTAGCAGAGGAGGAGAAGCTGAGTTCGGAGCTACCTGCAGCAGTGAAGGAGGTCTTGGAGCAGTACAAGGATATAATGCCCGACGACCTACCTGCAGGCGTACCCCCTGCACGCACCCACGAACACGAGATCGTGGAGGAACCAGGTGCGAAACCCGTCTCACGTGCACCATACCGACTGAGTCCGACCGAACTGACAGATATGAAGAAACAGATCGAGTATCTACTGGACAGACAACTGATCCGATCCTCCACCTCTCCCTACGGCGCACCAGTTCTCTTCACACCAAAACCAGACGGGAGTTTACGGATGTGCATCGACTACCGCGCACTGAACAAACAGACGGTAAAAAACAAATACCCCATACCGCGCATCGACGACTTACTGGACCAACCGCGTGGTGCAACAGTCTTCTCGAAGCTGGACCTACGGTCGGGTTATTGGCAGATCAAGATGGCAGACAACTCGGTCCACAAGACGGCGTTTCTCAACGGGAGTTGGGTATTGGCCCCGTCCTCGCTTGGGCGGAACCGACTTCGTGGTCGGGTGTGAGGGGAGCAGCCGACCTGCAGCAATGGGTGAGCTGGTCGATGAGAGGGTCGACCTGCACGGGGGACCACTGTACGGGCGCCGACTTCAGGGTGGCGCCGACTTCAGGGAGGTCGACTTGGGAGTCGACGTGCGGAGGACGTCAACTTGGTGACGTCAACTTGGCGAAGCCGACTTCGGCGGTCGGCTAATGAACTGCTGGTCGACCTGTTAGTGGTCGACTGGACCTGGTGGTCGACGAAGGAGGGGCCGACGTCGACCTCGACTCAGGACGCCGAGTAGTTGGGCGTCGAGTAGCGGGGCGTCAACTTTGTGACGCCAGCTTTGGGTGGCCGACGTGGGTTGTCGGCCGACGACTGTGCTGGTCGACGCGGAGCTGGTCGACCAGAGGGGACGTCGACCTGGAGGAGGTCGACATGGAGGTGGTCGTCGACTTGGGAGGTCGACGGGCACGTACGGGAGCTGCTGGTCGACGTGTTGCCTGGTCGACCAGGTTACCTGGGTGACGAAGTGCTCCGGAGGAGTGCGACGGTCGCCCAGGCAAAGTTGGCGAACCCGAACTCGGTGGTGGTATCCCGAGGTCGTCGTGGCGGATCAGAGGCAGTCGTCAGCTCGAGGTTGACATGGTGTGTGCGCTGTGCAGGTGACGAGACTCTGCACGCCAATCATCTGCGCACAACTACGAAGCAGGGTGCACTGCTGTCCTGCGTGAGCAACGCTGTCACGCCGTCAACCTGCGATGTTGGCACGCCGTCGACCTTGCCTTGCTGGAGCGCGGTCGACCAAGTCGTGCTGGAACGCGGTCGACCAAGCTGCGCTGGCAGTTGGCCGACCTGAATGCTTGCTCTGATGTAGTCTTGCTGTGCCAACTTCCTTGTATCATTGTTCTGAACTTTTCCTAGTGAAACTCTTGCAAATTCTCCCCGTGAACTAGCAAGGAGTGTGAACACAAGGAAACGACTAAGGACTACCGAACGCAGAGATCACACGAGCACACGTGCCTAGCCCATAGTCTATCTCCCGTTGCAGCAGTTATCTCCGCATGGTGCGGTGAGCGTGGACGACACCGCGACGTAGTTCAGTCTAGCCGACTTAGCACATACCGATCGTGTTCGTAGACCGGCAGCCGTGTAGTCACTAGCGTGCGCGTAGGCGACGCCGAGGTGATGGACACCCTGGAGGGACGGCTGGAGGATGCGAGGAGACGCCATGAGGCCAAGGAGTATGGGGCGATACCCTGGGTAGTCGTCGAAGCCGGACTCCGCTCCGTGTGGGCGGCGGAGCACCCCCCTTCTCGACCTGCCTCTCCTCGACCGGTGAAAAACGACGGCGGCGTCGACATGGGTGTCAACGCCGGTGGAGGTCAGGTCGGCAGCAGTGCGGGAGGCACGTCGAGGCACCGAGGTGTGATACACGCCGGTGAAGTCGGCGGCGTTCAGACGCGAGGGGTGCACTCGTCGGCGGCTGCAGGCTCCTCGCAGGGCGACGTCGGAGGACGACGAAGCGGATTGTCGCCGATGTAAGCGTCCCAGGTGACGGCAGGCGGGATTGCACCGAGCTACGGCTACTTCAAGTTTACGCCGGACAGGATCTCGGTCACCCCTCCGC